AAAGTTTCTGTTAGTATATTTTTCAAAGGAAGAATTACGAGTTAAAACCCCCCAGAACTATTGTGGTCGACTGAATTACCCCATAAACCGGAAAACCAGACATCGCTTACTATGAACTTTTAATACCGGATGAATTACCTCCCCTTGACCCGATCCAAAGCAGTTTTGTTCTACGTGGCATACGTATGGCAATCCATTACCCCCTGTCGCGCCCGCGCTTACCATCGGCCGCATCCACCTAGTCGCACACGCTGCGCTCGCCCAGCCACGCCCGCAGCCACTCGGGGGAGGAGGATGGGAGGAGATGGAGGCAGAGGTCCACCAAGAGGGGAAGATGAGAAAGAGGAGGTGAGAGAGTATATATGGCAAGTGGGCTCCACCATTAAAAAAGGGAAATGCTGACTGGAGTGCCACTCGTATGCCACGTAGGACAAAACCGCTCCGGATTGGGTCGAGGGGGGTAATTCATCTGGTATTGGAAGTTCATGGTGAGCGATGTCTGGTTTTCGGGTTTAGAGGGTAATTCGGTGGACCGCGATAGTTCAGAGGGTAATTCGTACTTTTTCCTTTTCCAAACTGCTAATGGGTATATCTTGTATGAAAACTTTTTATATAAGAAGTTACTTTAAAATATCAAATAAATTTATTTTCCAAGTTCAAAATAACTAAAACTCGATCAATTAATCATGCATCAATGGTTTTCTTATCTTCATATCTTAACTTTATCTTCATCTTCAATATAAATGAACACCACACCTCAATGTGGTTGTGGGCATGTTCGGATGGTTACAAACCGGTAACATTGAAAACCCAAAATCAACCACGACGAAACAAAAACCACGATGACAAAAACCTAAAATCAACTTCGACTCTAATTGCCATGCCCTTGTAAGTAATAGTCTTACCTGGACCACCAAACAAGCTAGGTGATCACATGCCACGGTATATAGCATGTCACAATGCCTTCAAACTATATAATATCCAACATTTTATAAATATGTTTCGTAGGCGAGTATGATCTAACTCTATACCATTTTCAACGTATGAAATAATCCATTCTGCATACATATATATATATCTCCACTAAATTCAAATTCGCTTAAAATTATGGCCTAGTGGTATGACCACTATCCAATAAAATCCAATTGATTTTCATCCATATTCTTAGCCAACTATATTGCCTATCACACCCAACGACTTTCCTATAAACTCACTTCACGTAATCTCTTCCCTCTATCTGTGTCTGTTGTTCACTGTCACCACACTTATCAATCTAGTTTGGCTAGGTTTTTTCTTTAAAAAAAATAGCTTCGCCACAAATTAAGATCCTTATTTTAAGTCATGTGACTTTACGGTCACTGACATGTAAATGTATAGCAAAGAAAGCCCATACTTAATTCAAAAGTTCTCTTAGAACTTGTTTGATGTAAATGTATAGCAAAGAAAGCCCACAATTAATTCAAAGGTTCTTTTACAACTTGTTTGATAAGACTTCAACTTATAAATTTAACTTCAGGAGCTTGATTTAGAGTGGAGTTGTGGAGTAACTAAACCCAGCTCAACCTATCTGGTTTATTTTGTGACTATAAACATTTTGGTTAAACTCTAACTCTAAGAAAGATAAAGTCGGAGCTAAAGTTCCCCTTAATCTATTGGCCACCGGCGCACTCAGACCTCCGGAGTAGAGGTGGAAAAGATGGGCAACGGCTTCACAGTTCACCACCCGACGTATGATGTACTTTCTCCGTCCCAAAATAAGTGCAGCCATGTACTACCCGAGTAATATCCCCAAGCGCAACATGCCAACAAGCACTGTCCACAAGGTAGGAGGCGAGTACAGGAGTTTTTCCTGTAATCTGTAGCAGCCAGGTCAGCCCTGCAAAAAGGGGGCCGTGATAGATTCCTGCCTGTCCCTGCGAACAATGTACTCGAACCAGAATTCAGGAAAAAAAAAAGCAACAACAGCAGCAGGCCAGCAGCAGCAAGACAACACGCGTACGAGCAGTGGATCAGAACCGTGGGAGCTCCAATCGGACGGGCGACGCAGGGCCGAGGTTTTGACTCCGACCACCCACGGCCGGGGCCCAAACGCCGCACAGCTGCCATGTGCAGAGGCCCGCTGCTGCCCCCGCCGAGACAACACGCGCCCGAACCCAACCCCATCATCCATCCGCCGATCGAGTCATCTACTAGCCCCACAGGCCACAGCTGGGACGGCGGCAGCAACAGCGACAAGGCCGCCACCGAGATCGAGCGAAGCGAACGGAGTACGTACCCACACAGGTTGGGCTCGGCACGAGGGAGTTGGCGGCGGCAGCAACGACAGCTCACCCACTGCCTCCCTCCCTCAATATATATGGTTATAATCTGATTAAGAAATTTTCTGTCAACACTTCTACCGATCATGTGCTGCCCTCTACCTGCTTTCATCACTGGAATTATCACTACCTTCATCCCCCATATCTCATACTCGTATGTTCTCTATGGAACATGCCTCCATCATCAAGTGGTCGGTTTTGAAGTACATCTTCTATCAAATGTAAATTATACTAGTGTATAAACCCCTATAGGTGCCGGTTGCCACTCACCATAGACCGACACCTACAAAGCGGTACTCGGTGCTGGTTTTATAAATATGAAGCAAAACCTCCACTTCTCTTACTGGTCGAGTAAAATTAAAGACGCTAGCTGCTCTATTCCACTCATCTAGCTCGAGGAGGTGACGAAATGTACATATGTCACACATATGTGTTGGTTCTTACACATGTCTGACATCTAACTTGCCACATCAGCCCTCTAGGTATCAGTTACTACCTCCGTCCTAAAATATAAACAATTTTAGCTATTAATCTGGATAAAAAATGCTTACATTTTAGGACGGAGATAGTATATAAAAAGAAATCAGCACCTATGTAAATCACCAATATAGATACCGGTTATTCTTTAAATCCGACACCATAGTCTCGCCCACATACGACAGTGGTCAGGTTACCATTGGTAGGCCCATCTTTTATATATGTGCCCATTAACAAGTGTAACCGGCATCTATATGGGAGTTGGGGCAATATAGGTGCTGCTATATTTCAAAACCTTTGCATACGTTCCACTTCAAATATTTGGCCTTCCGATCTCGTGGGGGTGAGAAAAGCCAATATGTGCCGGTTTAGAATGAACCGGGTACAAACGATGGTATTCTCCAATAGGGATATTGTAGTAGTGTTATGACTTACAATAAACCTCGACCGACGAGAAGATCCTCGAAGATATATCAGTTGGCTTACAACCGGAGGTTAGCTAGCAAGAGAAAATTGGGATTTTGCTATCGCAAAAGGATGGTTTCGCTGGAATACTATCCCTTCAAAGTGATTCATTAAAATGCTATCCTAAACTAAGGGGTGTTCACTAAAATGCTATTTTGGGTCTTTTTGTTGCTAGAAATGATTTTGCTCTATTTTCATTTTTGTTCTTACCAAAATACCCTTGCCTCAGATAGGTTTACAAGATGGAATCGATCAAATCGATCTCATCCCGTCGGCATCGGCGCTGACTGAGGAGGAGTGTGGAGCGACATTGGTAGCGGCAACACCGTCGCGCCTCCGCATTGGGTTCGGCTCTGGTGCCGGTGCCGGCCCCCGCCACTCCCTTACCTACTCCTCCCCTCCCTCTTGCCCCAGTCCACTCGCGCCGCCGCCTCCATTCGCGTCCGCCGCCCCTCAGTCAGCGTCTCCATTCGCGCCGGCGGCCCACGCTGTTCCCTCACTGCTCCTCCTCCAGTCCAGTCGCGTCGCTGCCTCCATTCACGTCCGCCGCCCCTCAGTTAGCACCGTCCCACCCCGCCTAGCCCGTCGACCAGTGGCTCTGCCGCCTCCGTCGCATCAAGGTCCACTTCCGCCTCCTGCTCCTCGGTGGCGGTGATGCGGCGGCGGCGGCACGAAGAAGGTAGCGGACGCATGAAGAAGGCGGCGGGGGCGCGAAGAAGGCCGCCCGCAGCGGGGGAGGCGCCGCGACGAACACGCGGATCACCGGCGGCAGTGGCTGCGGCTGGGGGGCGGCGATCCGTGGCACGAACTCTAGTTGAGGCGGCTGGCCAAGCCGCTCCTCTGCAGGTCCCGCTCCGCCACGCCCTCGCCACGGCGCCGCCGGCCACTGCCCGCCTCCTGGCCACCCCGCTCCCGACGTCGTCCTCGAGAGAGAAAGAGGGAAACATGAACAAAAGAGAGGTTAGGGAGTATGATAGGTGGGCCCCGCATAAGGGGTATTTTGGTCCAAGAAAAAGTTAAAATTGAGAAAAACATTTCTATTCACCTAAAAGAGCGAAAATAATATTTTGGTGAATACCTCTCAGTTTAGGATAGCATTTTAGTGAATCAGTTTGAAGCGATAGCATTTCAGTGAAACCACTCTTTTACGATAGTATAATCCCAATTTTCTCAGCTAGGAAGATCGGAAGACGGAAAGGGGAAATAATTAAGAAAACCGGTGGCCAAATTTCACAAAATTTTCTCTACAGCCCTCCAGGCCCACACTATTAACAACTTGACATACTACTCTTGTAGTGTCTCTAGTGTTTAATTTCCACCCATACATACCGCGTGCTTGGTTTAGTTTGTACCAACGGCACATGCTGCACCCACACTGAATATCTTCAGAGTTTAGAGGGAAACACATCTTACACTCTATCCCCTTGAGGCCTTGACACCGCCCTCCCATCTCTGTACCATTGCACGTACCACTTAGCACTAGTCACCGGTATTTACTCGCATCACGCATACAACTGCTAGTGCTGTACATCACTAATTAACTCCACATTCCCATCTCTGATCAGCTAGCTCGACCGGAGCCAAAAAAACGAATCAACCATCAACGATTTTTTTTCCAGGACGATGTGTTGCGAGCCCCTCCAATCTCTCCATTTACTGCTCCATGCAGCAGCAAACCTTTTAGTTTTTACCGCATCATGCAAGTGCATCACGTAGCTTAGAACGTGTGGATCCGACGGCCAGGATGGCTGTCAACAGCTGATCGATCGGTGGTTCGGCCGTATCCCACCCCTGCCAACTACCTCGCCATCAGTGAGTAATGGCCAAATTTATGGCCTCTCTCTACTCTCCCTCCATTTACACTCACACTATCTCGTTTCATGTCATCACCTCTGACCTTTTGTGCTAGATGCCCTGCCTCTAGCTAATACTCCCTCCTTCCCTAAATATTTAACGCCGTTAAATTTTTTAAACATGTTTGACCGTTCGTCTTATTCAAAAAAAACTTTTGTGAAATGTGTAAAACTATGTATATACATAAGAGTATATTTAACAATAAATCAAATGATAGAAAAAGAATTAATAATTACTTAAATTTTTTGAATAAGACAAACAGTCAAATATTTTTTAAAAAGTCAACGGCATCAAACATTTTGGGATGGAGGGAGTATCTCTCTCTACTCTATCAGTCTATCAATCTAGTATCTATCTATCTCTAACTCCAAAGGCTCCAAAAGTCCAAACCCTGAAAGGATGCAGCCCTAAGCAAAGGTTATGGTGTAGGCCGTGTTTAATTCAGTCCCAACAACCCTCATCTTTCAACTTTCCATCACATCACATCCAAAACTTTTCTACACATATAAGAGCAGGTACAATAGCAGGCTATAAGCCAGCTATAAACATATTTTAAAGAGATAAAGGAAGAGAGAGAAGAGCAGCGGGCTACAGATCTGTAGCCAGCTGCAGCACGGACTTTAAGACGTAAGGTGTGTATGACAGATGGAACCATGTACTAATTGTGTAGTAAGCAATTATTGTATGAATTGGCTATTACATTGGCTATATATGATTTGAAGCTAGTAGTGGGCTATACTATTAAACTTGCTCTAAACTTTCAACTTTTTTTTTCTAAACTTCTAACCTTTTTTCAGGAAATAAACACGGCCGTAGTAAAGCTGCAAGAGGAGGACCAGGACGTAGCTTGGGGGATGGTGTACAATTGTACACCCTGTGCTGCCCATCTATCAGTATAACCCAGCCTTACATCACCCATAGCTTGAGGGTTGAATCTGTTAGAGCTGATGCATGCCAGATTTATTGTGTCTAGTTGATAAAATTTGTTAGTATGTTGATCACACATAGGACAATTGTTGATGTTATGGTGAAGAAATGTCTAACGTGTGCATGGTAGTTCAGGTTGAAGGTCAGATTTAACTAAGAAAAACAATTATAGAGATGGCTTCCCTTTTTTTTCTAATTAACATACAAATTTTAACCCGATTTTTGTAACATGTTTTTCAAACTGTTAAACGATACATTTTATGTAAAAACTTTTTATATATAAGTTGCTTTACAATATTAGATAAATACAATTTCTAAATACAAATAATTAAAGCTTAATTAATTATACATTAATGATTTTCTCGTTTTGCATTCCGTACTTAATCTTCACCCAAACGGGGCCTAACCATGTTGATGTTTAATGTAAGAGCCATATATGTTTGTAGTTGCCGAATTAACCTTGGAGTTCATATCTTCGTTTCTTTTAAAAAATAATATACATAACAATTGTTTACTTAATTTCTCTTTTTACCATGATAGTATATGTTAGGATTCAATGTAGTTGGTTCAGTGTCCCTCTTATTTTGATCCTTATCCAACGGTCCATATATACATCTACTTCAAGTACAATAACATATGAGCATGTGTAACAAGTCATTCAAATCTTCATTTTTCTTAGCTAAGAATGTATTGTCAAATAATGATTGAGATTTTCCATATAGTGGTAAAAACGGTTACATGTTCTGACCATCTGATGATGTCAATGACATCTCATATGGAGGGTCAAATTAAAACCATCCTCTCCTCTGTTCCTGTGGTCACACGGCATTGATTCACAATTCAAGTCATACACATATCTAGTTGTAATACAACTGCAAGATATGCAAGACTATGGTGTTATAAATCATGGTCTATCTTGAAAAAAACACTAAAATGTTCTTTTTCTTAGTCAGTGATATATGATTGAACAGTTTTATCTATCTAAATATAATAATGTAAATGTCACAAAAATTGAAGAAAAGACTATTTGTTGCCTCTCTGAGATTTTCGTTAGTGTTAATTATAAATACAACGATTTCATATGTAAATCTCGTGATATAAATACATATTAAATAATATGCACTGTCATAGCCTGTCTCCAGCAAAACGTTAAAAATATACTATAACTACACAAAAATACACGTGCAATAAATTTTATCGATATTCGTTATACACGATGACAACTGTACAAGGAACACATAATTTACACGTGTACATAGCTCCAGGTTATGTGGTGATGTCAATGACAGCTCAATTTAAGGGTCAAACAAAAAACCGATGTCGTTTGCGGCGTCACCGTATATCCGTATCGCCGTCAACTTTCGATCTAACGGTCCGTATTTATCCGGTCACGACACATCCATATCATACTCAATTCAATATATGGAGTGCACTCATGGTATATCTCCAAGAAAAAAATATAATAATTTCCAATCAAACTTTTATTGGTGTCACTAATTACATGATTAATGAGTTTTTTTTCCCTCTATTCCCCTTGTGTCTCACTCTCTCACCTCTCTCTCTCTCTCTTTCCTTGGCCTTTTTATTCTTATCTCCTCGCCTTCGCTTCACCTCCTTACCTGTTGTTTTCCTCACTCCCTTGACCCGTCGTCCCATGCTAAAGCCAAAGCTTAGGCAGCAGCAGTAGGCTTAAGCTTGGTTGGTCAAGGGCGAGTGGCCATGGAGGCCATGGACGTCAAGTACAAGCCGCTCGTGTTCCCCAACGGCGCCATCAAGAAGGCGGCGAAGCCGGCGGCGGTGGCGCCTGCGGTGGGCGGCGGCGGAGGGGGAGAGACGGTGTACCGGGAGTGCCTCAAGAACCACGCGGCGAGCCTGGGCGGGCACGCGCTGGACGGGTGCGGGGAGTTCATGCCGTCGCCGGCGGCGAACCCCGCCGACCCGACGTCGCTCAGGTGCGCCGCGTGCGGCTGCCACCGCAACTTCCACCGCCGGCTGCCGGAGGGGTCCCCCCCGCCGCCGCCGCCGCCGGCGCTGCTGCCCGCGCCGCCCATGCCGCCGCACCGCGGGGAGGAGACGCCCGAGGTCCGCCTCCCCGGGGTGGATGGCGACGAGTCCGACTCCGACTCGGACGGGTCGGAGTACGACGACGAGCGGTCCGTGTCCCCGCCGCCGCCGCCGCTGGCGGCGGCGGTGGCGCACCAGGTGTACTACCCTTCGGCGCCGCACATGCTGCTGTCGCTGGGGTCGAGCGGGCAGGCGCAGAGGCTCCCGCCGCAGGTGATGTCGCCGGCGGCGGCGGCCGCGCCTCCCCCCGGCGGCGGCGGCGGCGGGATGCCGAGGAAGCGGTTCCGCACCAAGTTCACCGCCGAGCAGAAGCAGCGGATGCAGGAGCTCTCGGAGCGGCTCGGGTGGCGCCTCCAGAAGCGCGACGAGGCCATCGTCGACGAGTGGTGCCGCGACATCGGCGTCGGCAAGGGCGTCTTCAAGGTCTGGATGCACAACAACAAGCACAACTACCTCGGCGGCCACAGCGCCCGCCGCAGCGCCTCCTCCTCCTCCGCCGCCGCCGCCGCCGCCCCGCCATTCAACCCTCCCACCTCACCTCCTCCTCCTCCTCCTCCTCCTCCACACGCCACCGACTTCAACATCAACGGAACAGCCACCGCCGCCACCGCCGCCGCCGCCGCCACCATCGCCGCCGGCAACCACCAAGAGAACGGAGCATCGTCGCCGCAATCAGCATAAAAACTAGAGAGAAAAAGAGACAGCAAGTAGCCTTCAGTGATCATTCCATTTTCCTTTTTTTTTGCTTCTTAGATCGCTCATCCAAGAAATTAACCCCAAGAAAGGACGCCGCGGCTGCAGATCAGTTCTTGATGCCTAGTTACAGCAAAAGAAAAAAAAAGAGGAGAAAGAAGTCCAATCTTTCCTTATCCCTGTATGTTCTTGGGATCCGATGATGATGGAGAATTAGGGATTTTAATTAGATTATCTCATCTCAAAAGTGGCACCTCTCTTGGCTGTTCTTGTCCTCCCTTTGAAGCAGAGGTAGGAGGAGAGGGTTCTTCCTTCTAGAATTCTAGGATCTCTCTTCTCTTTGAGAAAAAATGTATACAAAAATGGAAGCAGCCTCACCTCTTGCACTCTGCTCACTTAATTAGTGTTATTATTATTATTATTATTATTATTATTATTTTTACTACTGTTCTTTCATTAATCAATTGACTTGCTTGTACTTTCGCTTTGCTCTTTGCGATTAAAATAATAACAACAACCGCGCGCCACCCTTAACTTTTTACGCGGTTAAACCTACATCATTAGCAGCGCATATTATAAGATGCTTTGCATAGGTATTTGCATGAATCTCTACGACAAACATGTGTTCCAGTTAACTAACGTGCGTATAAGCTAAAGCTAAACCATCACTTTCATATTGTCATATTTTACCCAATTCCAAATCTTTTCTGCTACTACTTTCCTCCCAAGAACCAACAAGAAGTTCTAGAACTCTGATCACTAATAGCATCTGTTGGAAACATTCAGAATTGTCACTAGTGTATTAGTGGATCGATTTTCTTATGAAACAGACGATTAGGTAACAATGGAATGAATTGATGGGAGCGTCCACTGTCTGCTACTGTACACTGGGGGTACAGTCTCTCTGGCATGCTTGCCATCACTTAGCCACAGTCTTAAGCAGGAGTTCCTCCTCCATTGAAGCTCTCTCTCTCTCTCTCTCTCTCTCTCTCTTTCTCTCTCTCCAGCCTCCAGGCATTTACGCCATGAATTAAAAAGGCAGAGCTTTGAGCTGCAAATCCAAGAGCTAACCAAAGGAGGAAGGAAGAAGATCTCCCAACTCCCAAAAGTGCAGCAGAGGGGCTCTCTTGTTTGGTACAGTAGACAGTTCGCAAGAGAGAGAGGATATGGGTTTTGCTTTGCGCTAAGAATGTCTTAGCATCTGGCTTAAAAAGGGAGTTTAGCTTGCTATGCTGCTGCTGCTGCTGCTGTGTAGGAGGAGGAGGTGGTGATCGATGGGATGGAATATGAGGAAGGGGATGCTTTTTGTCGTGCTGGCTGGGGTTTGGCTTCTTGAAAAGCTGATGGCGGCATTGACACTGAAAAGGGCCAAAAGGCCGAGAAGAGAGAGAGAGTGAGCTAGCTAGCTCGTGTCACTCTCTCTCTCTCACTCACTCACTCAGTTACTATGGCTGACAAGCCAAATCATGCAGCTACGCTCGTGATGGCATTAGCGTTGGCATGGCACTCCTGACAGAGCAGGCTCCAAAGAAAAAACAAGGCTCTTTTCTCTTTTCTTTTCTTTGTTTTATAGATTTTTTGTTTTACTGTTTTGGTCCCTCTGATCTTTCTTTTGCTGCTCAATTCCCAAAGGGTGCAAGCAATCGATGGAACCACCTGCTGCTCCTAAACCCCAGCGCATGATTTGCTCTCAATCCATCCCCATAATTATTATTATGATTATGGCGTTTGTGCAGGGGGGTGTTGCCCCCATCTCTCCATTTTCTTTTTGGTTCTTTCTATCAGCAAAACCATTATTAGTAGCTCATTGTATTGTGTACATTGTTATGCAAACAGATCTGTATTGTTCCTGCCAGAGCAATATCTGGGCTCTGGAGTAGTCCATGCTTGGATTTCACAGGGCTGTAGGTTGTCTCATTTGTAAATGTATGGTCTGCTGATCTGGTCCTTGCATCTGCCATTGTTGACTTGCATATAGGACATTTGGACATCTCGTTCTATTATGTTTTTCGCCATATAATCCTTCCTTTCAAAAAGGAAAATTAACTTTTGCATGCTGGATATAGCTTCTGTCTAGATTCGTATACAAAAGTTATTTTTTATAGGACATAGATAGTACACAGCTAATTAACTTGGTTCAATTGATTAACATGTTTTAGATGTTTTAGCGCAGAATTCGCTAAATGGTAAAGGATGGGAGACCCAGTAGTAGTACTTCATTTGGACATTTGTGCTTGCTAAAGGGTTAATATAGAAGTGCTATTGTTGGACTAGAAATGCTATAAGTTACATGCTTGTTATAACCGAGAGAAAATTCTCTCTCTTTTTTTTGTCATTGCAACATTGTTCTTTTTTTTTGTTTCAATCCAAAAGCCACTCTTCTGCTATTGGTTTTCTTTCCTCTTCGGCATTGCCATACGGTCAATATTGGTTGACCATAAAAAAGTTTGAAAGAAAACCATCGAAGGGGAAGACATGTGCCCTTGGTGATGTTACAAATAAAGAAATTAGAAAATAAAATATAAGATGCATGGTCATGAAAGGGACATGGAGTTATAGAAAAACATGCACAACAAAAAAAAAATAAGTTTTGTCATTTTCGGAAAAGAATACACCCATGTTGCTCTTAATATTTTTAGAACAAGCACCATATAAGATAGCAACAGTGAGACTGATCAATATTGGTGATCATGTCATTTTCTACAAAGATAGCAAATCTATGAGATATGAAAAAAAAATCTATGAGATAGCAAATCTCTAGTTCCTTAGTGTTTGTGACCATAAAAAAATATCACAACAAACAATGTTTCACATAGACAGTACATACTTGATATATTAGGCCTTGTTTAGTTTCCAAAACAAAAACTTTTCACTCATCACATCGAATATTTGAACACATGTATAAAATATTAAATGTAGATAAAAAAGAAAACCAATTACACAGTTTGCGTGTAAATTGCTAGATGAATCTTTTAAGCCTAATTGCGCCATGATTTGACAATGTGGTATTACAGTGAACATTTGCTAATGACGGATTAATTAGGCTTAATAAATTCGTCTCGCAGTTTCCTGGTAGAATTTGTAATTTGTTTTATTATTAGACTACATTTAATACTTCAAATGTGTGTCCGTATAGATGTGACAACCAAACACAAATTTTTTTCCCAACTAAATAAGGCCTTAGTCATACTATACAAAACTTTGATTATAATCTATATAGCCAGATGGTTAGACAATGGAGTTGTACATTTCATTCAATCCACGCGAGGGTTCAAATCATATTTTTAACATTGTCATTCATTAATATAGAAATACATACGTATACACAACCAGTTAACATGTTTACACCCTTGCTTCCAGAGGTGTTTGGTGCCTATATATATCTCATCCTCTTGAGTTGATTTGCATTATTGTTTTACATGATTCCGTGATGCCTCTTTAAGGGGAACTCATCATACGGATGCCCCTGATGATCATGCTTTATCCTGTTCTAGTGATGGGCTTGCAAGGTCTTGATAGATTTCTTTGCTGGGTTGGTGGGGATCATGTGATGGCAAAACCCTAACAAATAATACCACCCCCTGCCATTGCTGCATGATGCATTGCCTCCTTAGATTCTTCTACCCCCTATGCTGATCTTCCTTTGGCTAGGTTCCCGAAATGTACAACTGTTAATTTAATCCAAAGGTAGATGTCTTCCTAGGTAAAGGGATGCTAGCTAGCCAGATAAGATAAAATACCTAAGATTATTATATTGATGGAGTTTTTGGTAGAACCATGATGGCAGCAGGAGGCATGAGTTAACATGTTATATTATTAAATTGATGGAATTCGCTGACATGTTACGAGTACTAAATGGAAGTTGGATCCTGAGTTTTGTTTAATGGATCAATGCAGGATGACAACATCCCGGGTGCTACCTTAAAGCATAACATTTGACAATGTGCTGCGATAAAAAAAAATTCAATTCAAAATTCAGTCACAGACAAATGTTAAAAATGGACAAATTCATGCCCTATGGAGCCTTAAAACATTGTGGAGTGTTTGGTTGTTGGTCACACTTTATCATAGTCTGTCACGTCTAATATTAGATAAGTTGATAGCTATTTAGTTGGTGCCACAATTATGGTAAATATTCTTTTTCAATTAACTAGGTCTCACAAATCAGTGATTTAGAAATGTATGATAAGATCGATAGCTGAGATGTGTCAATGAATTTGATCACCTCACAAGTGTGGTAGCTTTCGTTGGTTCATGGTTGCTAAGTATGGTTGACAACTAAAAACAACCGTACGTAGACACGGAATGTGTTGCATCTTCTTCTTCTTTTTTTCACTTACTATATCCGTTATATAAAAAAATCAAATTCTAGCTACAAACCTAAAAGGAGTAAATCTTTAGATGCCCGATTTCGGATATATATTTAGTCAACGCCATTCTAATGGAATGATTGGATAAATTATGGTCAAAGGAAAATTGCTCATATGGATGACTTAAAAATTACATACCAGCTAACAAATATCATAGAAAAGTTATGTGATACAGAATTTTTTTGAGAAATTATACGTTTGTAAAAAAAAACAATTTAGCTCGAATGATCCATATATCCATAAGCTGTTTGGAACATGCCCAGATTAGATATCAAATTATTCTTCCTAATTATACTGCACAAACATGCTGCAAATGCCAGCGGAATCGATGGCAACGTGCACTTCAGTCCTAATCTTTTTTTAAATCTTTTTTTCACCCCATCCTGATCCTGTCCTAATCTGTTCCAGCTCCGAGATAAGCACAGAAGTGATTCTTCCTTTCCCAATTTGATCACCTTAAGACGACAAGCACGCGCATGATTAGGGACCACTTGACTACCGCAAAGCTTCCGCCGTCAGCGCTTAATCCTATTTTTTTTCCAATCACTTTGCAGGTGTGTGACAAATCATGCCATGTCGCATCACAATGGATCGTGAAATCTCTATCTCCATACGAGCTGCCATTTGCTGCCGAATCTTAAAATCAGACAAACAACTAGGATAGGATATATATGACTACAGAGCTCCTTCTAAAAAGAAAACCATCTTATTGATAGCCAGCTTATAAGAATATGAAGAAACTGGAAAATCCATAGCTTTTAATTTATTTTTCAAATTCTATAACTACAGCTTCCTAAAATTTGTTTATTGGATTTTCTAATTTTTGAAGTAGTTGCAGCTGTTTGCATCCCCTTTTCCTAACCCCTCCCTCGTTTTTTATACGCACGTTTTTCAAACTACTAAACGGTACGTTTTTTGCAAAAAGTTTCTATACGAAAGTTGTTTAAAAAAAATCATATTAATCCATTTTTGAAAAAACAAATAGCTAATACTTAATTAATCACGCGCTAACGGACTGCTCCGTTTTCCGTGCTAGGGGGGGGGGAGTGTTTCCATCTAGGAGGAGAAACTTTCCAAACAAGCACATACT